GGCCCTGGGTTCAATCCTCAGCACCACATTAAAATAAGTAAGTAAAATGTCTCTTACATAGACAATTCCAGGTTGAGTGGTTGAGTCATCTGTGACTTTTAGAGTACAAAAAAAGCACCATTTGATCTATTTATCTATCTATACATACACGAATGAAAACATGAACTTATTAAATGAATAGAGAGATGTAACATATATATATATAAACATGGTAATATGAGTGTATAAAATATGGAAATATATCCATATAAACATGAAGATTTATCTTCCATTCTAGGATGCTTTATCATTCAATACAGAAGACATACACATGATATATACAAAAATATAAAAACACAAATATATATTATAAATAAATGTAGGAAATACATAAATCATCTAAATTTATAAACACAGGTGTATAAAATAAGTATAAGCCAAGGAAACACACAGAATCTCAAATACACAGACGCACACACACACACACACACACAAATTGCTTTTGTGCCAGGCACTGATGAACCCTCTCCTTCTCTGCTGTCAGGAATGGGAACCAAAATATCAAGAGAGTCCTCATGACCAGTTCCATGTGGTTCTTGGCTGACAGCAAGGACCAAGACAGTGACCTTTTAACAGACCTAGCCCAAGCGCCTCTATCAAGTAATTGATTATCAAATAAACATGACTCCGGACGACAAACACAATGATGCAATTGTAGATACCTGAGGCCATGGACTGGACAAAGGGACTTGGGCCAGCAGCTCTGAGATATTTCCAGGCATCTCTTGGGACTTTACTGTGAAGCTGAGTCATGTGGTCATTACTGAGCCACAGCCAGTAATGACCCTGCTTGGTATGTGTGGGAGAGGGCATTACATACATACACAGACAAATATAGATATTTATACATAAAAATAGAAGATTATGTAACCTACTTTAAAACGCATGATCACATGAATATGTGGGTATAAAACATAGAAATTTATTCAGATAACTATGCAGTTATATCTGCCAGACTGGGGTGTTTCCACACAGGTACATTTACATTTTCTCTTCTGTACTGCATGGTGAAACATCCCAGTTTGGCAGATACAACTACATATTTATATCAGTAAAGGTGTCTGTATGCATACACATATACACACAAACTTGTAAATGAATAAATACAGAGAACATATAAAAATATGCAGATATATTAAGGAGACAATAAGCACATAAATATAGATGCACCAAAACAGACATAACTCAGGAAGATACACACAATCATGCACTAACATTCATGCCAGAAGTCAACGGGCACTCTTATTATCTACCACAAGGATGGAGACAAACAAGGAAGTCCCTCACTCCTAGATCTAGGTGGCGCTATTTTAACTAAGTACCAGACCATGCCTTTTTAACCAACGGGGACCAAGTACCATCACCTTCCAATGAGGAGCTGGAATACTTTTCTCAACCTGCCAACTGGATGAGAAACATCCCAGGGGACCCTATAGCATGATATCCAGGTATATGTGGGTGGAGTGGGGATCTCTGCCAAGATGAAGATGAGCTTGTTCTGAGCCCTCAGGCATTTATTTATTTATTTATTTATTTGTTCATTTATTTATTTATGTATTTATTTATGTGTATATGTTTTAGATGTGGGTATATAATAGAGCAGAACATGTAACCTATTTAAAAATGCCGAATGTCTTCTCTGATATAAGGGGGGGTGTGACTCAAAATGGGGCAGGGAGGAAGAGCATAGGAAGAAGATTACCTCTAGATAGGGAAGAGAGGTGGGAGGGAAAGGGAGGGAGAAGGGGAATTGCATGGATGGTGGAAGGGGACCCTCATCGTTTACAAAATA